AAAGCAAGTCTAGTCAGCTCTAGCTAGCTCTATATGAAATTAGCATTGAGAAAGTTTTGTTTATTTTTAGAGTCAAGAAGGATATTGTGTAATATAAGATTTCAGAGACTAAATGTTAGTCTAAATCCGGGGTTGCAAGATTAAATTTATTACGTAGGTTATAATCAGTTAACGTTTCACTTGTTGAAAGAATTAAAAGATAAAGATAATCGGGAATATTGTTCTTAACCAGTTTGTAGCCACCCTTCATGCTTCTAACTGCACTATTTTAGTCTACCAGTTATTTCTACAGAACACCCATCCTTTTGATGAGTCTTCTAGAATAGGACGTAAATACATTTGGTACATGTTCGATGTTTCAGTAAGTATACATACTTAGTTTTCTCATGGATGACACCATATTGACGTTGTTTGTATCACGCCATGTACATGTCTCGGTCATTTAACATTATCTGTCAATATTACACCAAGATGTTTGTGAGTATTTACTTGCTCTAAGGGTTGATTATTGAAAATTAAAACATATCTCTCATTCTCTTGGCAATGTTACGGTGACTAAACATCACATACTTTGTTTTGATTTAATTGAATTTTACTGAGCCCTATTAATCTTCCAGCTTAGTTAATCACTGCTGAGTTCTTCATGTATAATCTCTACACATCTTGCAGGAACACCGACAGATTTGACAATGTGTTAGTTTAATCATCAATGTACATGAAAAAGAAATGGCTCAGGACAGCTCCCTGGGTCACTCCAGCAGTACTAAATTGTTCAGAGGGGTAGTGAGTGAAAGGGTATGGTTTTTCGCCGCTTTTAGTAATATTCCAGCAATATCACGGCGGGGGACACCAGAAATGTGCTTCACACATTGTACCCATGTCGGGAATCGAACCCGGGTCTCAGTCTGCGTGACGAGCGAACGCTTTAACCACTAGGCTACCCGACCGCCCCTTCAGAGGTGTAACTACCGCTTACGTTTACACATCACTTTTTTTTCGTTCCGACGCGTCATCTTTTATCCAAGACAGGAGATTACCCCGTACACCATAATTTGTTAGAATTAACCCTTCACCCGGAACTGTTAAAAGCTTTGGATACATCGCAGAATACCATACATAACAGTTGGCACGCGATGACTCGGAAAGACTCTTGGCTATGTTTTATTGCGTTCATACCTTGTTCATATATTATCTACTGTATGAATTTGTGATATCAATAGTTCACTTCTTGGTACATACCACGGTAAATAATTTACGTGTCACCAATAGTGTTGCCTGTTATGTCTCACGCATAACGTTATGGATATATTTCCCTGTGATTGTGTATGTATTATTAATACTAGATTCCAAAACATTTTGGCATTTAATAAGTTAAACATGACATTCTGCAAATATAAAATTCCAACGATACAGAATCAAGGAAGCAGTTAATATGAAAAGTTGAGTTATAGATATATCACAAAATCGATATATAAATTAAATCAAAATGTCATCATTTTTAGATATCGCAAAAATTCTTTTTGATATAACTTCTGATATTTAGATATCACAACTTCGATTTTTGTAATATCATAGCATATATTTTAGGTATCACAAAATACCTTGTAGATACCATAAATTCATTTATTCGCATCTATAAATCGAATTTGTGATATTAAATATTTAATGAATTCGATACTTATTTTATATAATAAAAATCGCATCTTTGTGATATCAGTAAATCACTATTTTTGTTAAAATAAAATAGTAGGGATAAATAGTAAAACGGCCCCTAAAAAACGTGGACTGTCGGAACTATGAAACTGCCCGTGTTAGTTTGCCATCGTAATCTGGCGGTGTACTCACTTCCAGCCACTGGCTACTGTTCCCCATGGTGGCAAATGACGACGCTGTGTATAATTCATTCGTGTGGGACGTGGTGGGTATGACTTGAACACGGTCGACCAGGCATGATTGACAGGCTGTATTGGCTCAGAAGAGGCCGCCCTGAAATCTTCACAGAGCAAGCAGAGTTGTGTCCCTTGTTCACGCTGCTCGCCGAGGTGGGATTGCCTAAGATTATCCTTGTGCTATGTTCAGCGGGCGTTGCTTTCTATTTTTGCTTTTGGAATATATTGCATTATAAAGTGATATATGCATTATCAGACGAAATACTGCAAGTTCAATTCGTAAATACATTTATTAAAAGCTAATATTTCATTGTATATATAGTTTTGAATGTTGTAAATTTGTTCATAGGGTGTGTGGTTGGTGAAATCCATGCCCAAACATCTAGACGTCCCCTGGGCACGCCAGAAACCTGTGATCGCGGGTTCGAATTTGCCCCGTTTATGTTTCAAGGTTTGTCAGCACCATACCCGTGCTCGTTGCTTTTACCAACGTGGTAAACGTCTGAGACCTGCATCACTTCGGGCTTTCCTTCCACATTAAGCTGACTCACCATGACAAAACTGGTATGATATCTAAACGGCGTTGAACCCCACTCACTCACTTACACGCACGGCCCTCGAAGGCGGCCCAGTTTAAGGCACCGCCGAATCTCGCTGTGAAATCGCGTCCATCAGTCATTACAGGGTATCGTTTGAATCTAATGAGTGCGCCAAGATAGTAAATATAATACCCACGACACAAAAGTAAACTTATATGTCCCGCGTTATACCTGATCAGCCTTATATGCCGAAATCGCCACAATGTTTCGAAATGATTACTCGAAAAAAACACCAATCACACAGATTTTAGATGATTATAGTAAAAGGTATGCTGTGCCTAAAAAGACGGGGGACCTGTGGTATAGACTTGTTTTAGTAGAAATATTGGTTCAATTCTGTTGTTTTACAAAATAATCTCTTTGTTGGTGAAAGTATATTTTGTAAATACTCGCACTAAACAGAGAAAATATACGTTTCAATTAAAATGGGAATCAATTCATGCCGTGGGCATTATCAATGCCTTAACCCCTTGAGGACTTCTGGCTAAAATATGCCCCCAGATATCAATCACTGGATTGTGTGGTCCAGACTCGATTATTTACAGACCGCTGTCATATTTCTTGCGGCGTAAAACAACAAACAAACAAACAAACAATAGTATTCATGAAGTGACTTACCAACCACACAAAGCAACATTTTCTTTAAGAAAATGGCCCAGTCGTAGAAGGCACTGTCATTGTCTGTGCAGAGTTACGTCCCTTAGGTGTGCCAGAAACCTGTGACAAGCCTCCCATCAAGCTGACCCCCGGTAGTGTTACTGAAATCCTGCTCGAAGCAGTGTTGAACTAAACTCACTTCAAGAAAAAGTCCCAGGCAGCTGTAAAATCTCACTTGGAAAGCCAGTATACTTGAGGGAGGATAGTTTTATAGTATGATATTCACTCACAAATTAAACCAACAACTATTATAGTGAGAATATATTAATATGATTACAGTTGACTGAACTGATATTTATAATATAACAATCATTTTAACCAAGCATGCACAATGCAATCCATAACATGATGCCACACACGGCTATTCATAACGGAGGGCGTCAGTTTAGCTAAGAAGAGGGAGATTTTATGACGCTTCACGTGGTTGGGTTGGGATAATGTACAAATATAAAAAGAGTAGTCTCCCATAGCAAAACTTCCTCCAGAAACATTCTTTGGTAAACATGACTTGCCTAGTTATTTACAATGAGTTGAATGACTGGAGACATACAGACTATTCACCGGGGCCCAAAGAATGTGTATGGGTGACCCCCGGTGGGTGAGATGGGTTGATCTGACTAGAACAGTTTTCCAGATATATCACAGCCTGTCTGCTAAATGTGGCAAGAAAGCCTGAATTGATGCAAGCCTAGGCATTTACCGCTTTGGTGAAATCCACGAGTCTGGGTATGTTGCTGGCAAACCTAGCAAAGTAAGCGGGTTGAACCAGGATCCCGAACCATAACAGATTAAAGACGTGCCAAAGGGACGCATCTCTGCATGATCAGTGACATCCTGGAGTAGAAGACCGTCTTCTGGAGATTTATGAATTTTGTCTGATGAGATGTGAAATGGGGTTTAACTTGTGTTCAAGATAACTGTACTAATGACGTGCAAGCATGTGTGTGTGGCTGCTTGTACTAGTCCAGACTTATGACAATTTTATAAGGCAATCGATGAGAATCCATGCCACAGTTTAACATGAATACCCCCTTAGACACAGTACACTGAGCAAAGCGGTCCTTGTTTTAGCCCCTCAATAGGGAACACCAGGCAGGGTAACATGTGTAACACATCTTTTAAGGCCAGCCACGGCCGGGGATCTAACCCCCGACCTTTCATTCTCTAGGCGGACGCTCTACTACTAGTCCCTAAAACGTGTATCAAGTATAATAATTTATTGATTCAAACCCATATGCTTCAAACATTATTTCATTCATATCGTGCCATGTCATATCATGAAACCCTCTCTGCAAACAGGTCTGCATGTCAGGGCCATGCACTGCCTTGTACAGTATTATGAACAGCCACATTAAAGTCTTTGATTTTGTAGGCATTTAGAAGTTGGAAGAATGTGAAGCTTTTTATGGGTAGCAACTTCTAGATTCTAATCAATAAATAAAGGAGCTGTTATCCATAAAAGTGTCATGGAAACAGCCATATTAATTGTTTGATCTTAACACCACACTCAGGAATCTTCCAGCTATATGACGGCAGTCTGTAAATCGTCAAGTCTGGATCAGACAAGCTAGTGATTAACATCATGAGCATCAATCTACGCTACTTGTGTTCAATGACATGGACTGACCAAGGCAGTGAGTGTGACCACCCAATGCCATTTGTCACCTCTTCCAACAAGCATGGGCTGGTGGAGACCAATTCTAACCCAGGTTTTCACTGGGGTCAATAGTCATTAACTTCAGAGCATAAGCAGGGATGTTGATGTTATATAATCACAATAGACATGATATTTGAAACCAAGTTCAGACCAACCTCTTTTTGTCCACAATGTAATCAAAATACAGTGAAAACAATGGTTATTATAATAAGAGTTTAATGAACATCGCTACAACATAAAATGAAAAATTTCCATTTGCTAAATGTACATATATAATCTCTCAGTTATCATAATTACCTTAGCTCCGATCAATGTGTATGGTGATGAATAATTAATTCATTGTGTCACCACAGCATCACCAAGTATCTTTATGATAAGGACTTTGTATATTGTGAAGTGCAAAATAAGCTAATAGATAACTCCTGCCCTTTCTTCTACTTTGATCAAAGATCAGCCTACTCCATTTAGAAAAAGCGTCTAGATTTGAACATGGAAGCTGACATTTTGGCTTAGAACAGTTATTGCACTGCAACATAGATCTTCCTGAAGCAAGAGTGTCCTTTCTCCAATTCTCTAGTGTAAAACATTAAGGATGTTGGGTTCTTACATTAAAACATTACTGCTGAAATGCCCAAAATGGCACCTTGACCCATTAATTTTTATCATTATTCGCAACTACTATTTGCATACAAGTCTGCGACCCAACTTTCAGCCCAAGTTATTAAAACAGGTCATCTTAAGGCAATAAATATGTGTCATACTGTGTAATTAACCCTACCAAAGCATTACAAACAAACAAGATGGCTATACACTGAATATGGATATCTTATTTATGACAAATAGCCAACAATTTAAAAGGATCCACTCCTTCAAACTTTATCAAAGGCAAAATAATCACAGCACATTGATAATATAGTGATACTGTATTAACAACCCTTACAGAAATAACTGCTAGCCTGGTAGATAAATCTTGAACAATTTAATTTCTTTGGTCCATGTTCCATAGGTTTATTGCTTTGTGTTCTACTGCAGTGCAGTACTGTTTTGTTTCTTGGCAGTGAGTGTGATCTGTAGCTCTCATCACAACCTAGTAGGGGTGAAACGATACAGCAAGGTCACAATGATACGTATCATGATACAAAGGCCATGATACGATACGTATCGCCATATGCATATTTTCGTCAAATAGTGTGGATACGTCTTGACTATAAATATTTCAGGGCAGGTACAAAAGGAAAAGCTAGCTGTAGACACTTATTCGTTTTTTAGTGGTGAACTACAACACGCTTTGCGATTTTTTACTGACAAAAACGCTGGGGGGGGGGCATTAAACAAGCAGTATGTATTTTAGCAAGTGTATCGTCTTGTATCGACACAGAGTTAAATGTATCGTATCGGCGCATGAAAACTCACGGTGCATGGATGTATCGTTTCACCTCTATAACCTAGCAATATCCTGTTTTGACAAAAGTGGATTTAGAAGCAACTTGGAACAAAGAAGCAAGAATATGCACAAGAACGTGTGGACAGAAGCATGATGTGACAGGGCAGGCATCTCACAAGAAGGAATCACACCAGTCTTTCAGACATGTGTAGCAGTCCCGAGACTGTTTGGCATTTGCAGAACATGTCTCCTTCAGCCATTCTTGGAACAACTCGTCATCTTTCTTCAGCACCAGGAACTGCCCCAGTACCACATACGCCTGGAAGGAAACAGACAGATGATCAAATGTTGCAGGTGAGGTGAGGTGAGGTGAGGTGAGGTGAGGTGAGGTGAGGTGACTTAATGATCAATTGTTAGATTAGGAGGTGAGGTGAGCTTGAGGTGAATTGGGGTTTAACATCTCACTGACGATTATTGCACTGATCATCCACACTTACGCCCGTTTCACAGTGTGCTACCCACTGAGAAACCATGCCGCAATTTAACATGGATACCCTATTCAGACCCTGTATGTTGACTGAGCTGTCCACTCCTGATTCTATCCCCTTAATGGAAACAAGTTCCATCTTTTAATGTTTTTACTAAATGATGCGGCCTGGGATCAATCTGTGGACATTCTAGACCACAGAGGCAGTCCATGAATTGTCAGAAAATGGATATACGAACTGTGTTACAATCACCAATTTAATGCATAAACAACTGAACAAGTATATGAACACGGTGAGATAGTATTTAGAGGTTGAACGGTATTCTGGAATTCTAAAAAATAACCATTATTATCGTACAGCCACGTCAGATACCAACCTGTTGCTGGGGCTCTTGTTTGTTTACAGTTATATGATGCATCAACAAGCACTATAGCTACATGATTACTGCAAAAGTTATTCCATGTCAAATCTAAACATTAATAAAGTTTGACATATTGTGTAGTAGGCTGGACACTAATTTCTCAGCAGAATCTTTAAAGGGACAGTCCGTTGACGGTTCTGTGTTTTAAATCACGAATGTCATGTCACATGCCCAATTTAATTCTCAAACCAAAATAAAAGAGCTCTGCACAGAGAAGTTGACATGGCATGATCCATCTCTTGTCATAGAAGCCCTACTGAAAGCTAGCAATATACGGTCACTTTGATGTGTAAAGCTATATAGTCAAGCACCTCACAGTCACAGTTGTAGTAGTATGTCTATATAACTATGCAAACAATATGTAAAGAGCATCTAAAGGCTAGCAGTAAGCCTGTCTGTTCTTATTTCAGAATTTTAAAGTGAGTTTGTTTACAAACAGGAGGAGAGTGCCTGAGTGGTCACGTGACATGCCTACACCCACGGTGTAGTCACTAAAGCTGAAATGGAACAAGGCGAGCTGAGCCGAGTAAGATCGGGGGCTACCGTCAATTGTTAAAGCTTCAGAATGGTCAACGTCCTGTCCCTTTAAAATGAAATTATCTTCCATGATAAAACCCAGAGAAAATTATCAAGTCTTTTTTAACCAATAGAATGTATCATTCCTGCCAGAAACAGTTGTCTATCTAGGGTGTCATTGTATACAATACAACATTGATAAATTTGTAAAAATCAGCACAAATGTCTGAATATTGATACTACATGAATAATTCCCAGCCACAGAAACGTTGCTACTTAGATTATCATCATGATCATGATTGACATGGATAAGGAAAAGGCAGAAAGGATAATTTAATGAGTGAGTGAGTGCGGTTTTACGCCGCTTTTAGCAATATTCCAGCAATATCACGGCGGGGGATACCAGAAATGGGCTTCACACATTGTACCCATGTCGTGAATCAAACCCTGGTCTTCGACATGACGAGCGAACGCTTTAACCACTAGGCTACCCGACCGCACCGGATCATTGAATGGATCAGCCCAGTTCATATTTTTCATTACATTCATTAATTGCAGGCCTATATAGGTAACTATGTATCTATACAGATACAGAATATTTGATTTTATTAGTAATCAATAGATCATGATATGTTTGAGTTGGGATAATTATACTACAATTTTCAGCAAATGACACCCTGAATGTCTGATTCTTCTGTCTACAGAAATATGAGACAAGACCTTAACTAACCTTATCAAATCCTGCCTCGCAGAGCCTCCCTCCTAGGACTTCGCCTATTCCAGCTAGCTCCGTCACAGGTTTCTCTCCCATTGGCTCGGACACAAAGTTCCGGTGTTTGGCAGATGTGGACGACATACTGACTTGTTATTTGATGATTTTGACTGGAAAAAATAATAATTCATTGTATTCTGTTAATCATTCTAAAAAAAATGAAATGATAACCTTAATATAACATTTTTTTCCAAAGACATATCACATGCTGGGGATGAAGTGAAAAAATATTGATGATTAAATTTTATTTGTTTGTTCTCTGCAATGCTGTGGCTTTGTTTGTTTTGTGTTTATGATGGCAGCCTTTACGTAAACAAGTTGGGACAGACAAATCTGTGATCGATATTGTGAGCAATGATCCACACTGTCAGGGTCTTGATCAAACATAATCCCCGAAATCACCAGATCCATGAAGTCACCTCTGTGTGTATTATTAGGGGTGCCTACATGTTCTGTTTATAATAATATGTCAAAGGTCACAGTTGGTGGCTTGATTGTAAATTCAGACAGGCCTTTTGTTGATTCATCATACATGCACATTCTAATATGTGGTATTAGTGATATCATAATTTTAACTGGTTCTTAATAAAAATGTGATGAAAATTCATACTGGACTGTTCTTTCATAATTCGCCATGTAAGCAAGGGTAGACTACATTGGTCATATCCAACTAGTCCACAGCTACTTTCGGACAAGTGTTCTCGATCAAATAGGCCTACCAGCTAATTACATCTGGGGGAGAATCAGCAAGTCCCGCTTTACTTTGTCTTGGTTTCATTTGTCTCCGACTAACAAACTAGTGGCCATGTCTATCCCCGGCAACAGATGGAAAAGTGCACATATCATTTTTTTTTGTCAAACGGAGCGTTTGTGTATGGTGTACGTTTGATCAGGAGAACTTGGTTAAAATTCTTGACTAATTGTGATACAAAATGTCCCATAGATTCTTTTCAATATTCGAATTGTCTAGAAGATTTATCAAACTAATGTCGTATTGGTACTTGTTTCCTGCGCCTGTTGACGGTGGGATGGTGATTTAACATCTAATTTTAATTGCGTTCGTTGAACGAGACATGTTGGAGAAAAGGTGAGATCTAGGCCCACCAGGGAGGAGCGAGTGATAGGCCCTAATGTTTCGGTTGATCAAAATAAGCAACAGTGCCGGACAATAAGGAAACACCAACGGGACTCATGTGATTAATTAGGTTGTTGAATCACCAGTGGATGATGCTCCAAACAATAATTGTTGACTGGCTTCCGGACAACTACGAAAAAGACGAACTGGCAATCATGCCATATTATTTCGTTAAATCGTTGTGAAAAGGGGAAGATTAAGTATCCTTAACACTTACTTACAAGGACTTATTGAAAAATACACTGTCCTCAAGTTAGCTGATTGTTTGTTGTCGTAATATCATATCTTACCTTTAGTGGCGTAATTGGCGGGAAGTAGTTTCGCTTTCGAAGTTTTTGACCCGAATGAACCACCTACATTTATCATAAACCTTTTGTGCAATAGTTAACATAGAAAGGGACATAACCGCTTTGTTCACTATATAATTAGAGCGCCACCTATCGACGATCAAACTCCTCGCAGCGGTAAGTCGTTCGCGGAACTCTCAATACAATAATACCGAGGGTGTCACGCGCTGGGAAGGAGCTTGACCGATGATAAGTAACGGTAGGTTACTCTAACCTCAATGTGAAAGTTATGATCACACGAAGAATGAGTGTAAAAAAGGTAGTTCAAGTCCAGCCGTATTATATTAATGGAGATGAAATCCTTGAATGAATTTTCCTCAATTTTCAATAATGTCGAACGACTGAGGACACATATGGCATTTAATACGAAGGCAAAGTCATCGGTATTTCATCCCTTTTAGCTATGTGCAAAACAAATTAGAAAAATATAGTATACAACACAATATATCTCATTATAGGAAACAGGTAAATCTTGAAGCTCGTGATAAGAACTGACATTATGATTGATTACTAAACCAAATGATTACCTCTATTTTTTAAATACTTTCTATACATTCCTGTGATTTAGTAATGTTAATTTTTAGTAGACAGCAAAGCTTCATTTTATAGCAATGTTGCTTATAATATTTAAAAAAAATCTAATTCCGTAACAAGAAAGCGACAAATTTAAACGATTCCTGAATTGATGTATTATGATTTGTTTGCTTGTTTCTCGCGTCAAACATTCAACCAAATTACTAAGTCCGACTACTCGATCCATTAAGTCGCCCCCCCCCCCCCCCCCCCCCCCCCTCAATTGTTGCCATGGGAACATAAAAATAAAAAAATCTAAAATCTCTAAATAGCAATTGGCACCAGTTCAGCATGAGTCTGATGGACAACTGATAGCAAAGTTTCGTAGAGAGATATTTAACGGTTTCTGAGTTATGCTCCGGAAACGATTTCGGGACGCACACAAGCACAAACACGCGCACGCACAGACGGAAGGACGGAACCCATTTCTATATCATGCGAAGTAATTGTAAAATAATGTTCAAATACGCCATAATCGCATTAGAACATCAGTGGTACAGGTGCAGTATGTGATGGTAGTAGTGAAATTACTTGGTCATATAAAACACAAAAAATCACAAATGTTAGGCCCTTCCCCAAGTGATAAGTTTTCTTGTGATAAAGCTGGCAAAAAATGAAAGGAAAACACATTCCAAAGATACCCGTTTTTTTATATTTTGGACACATATAGAGAATCTTTTGATATCAAATATATCAACACGAGTTGATAAAAGTGGAAAGTGGAAAAAGCCGAGGTGTTTTTCGACTTTTATCAACGAGTGTTTATATATTTGATATCAAAAGACACGAGTGTGAGATTTTATTGATCATCCGTACATCTTCTTAGATTGGTTTAGTGCTGATAACCATTTTCTAAAATTTGGGCCCACATTGTTCCCGTCATATATGGTGATCGAAACAGGTGGGCCCACATTTGTAAATCGCTTGGCTTCATTGGGTTGACTGAGTCATTTAGACTAGTGGGCTCACATTTGCATGGGTATGTGACATTATATATTATTCTCATTTTGTAATATTGATGGGAAATATCTTTATAAATGCACACAAAGTCTTTTAAGTTTGAATAACGTCATCATAGCTGACCACACTAGTTTTGCAAAAATAGTTACAAAGCAAGAAACTTAGATCTACTTCAAATTAAATTCTCATTCTACTTTTTCCAGTATAACACATCAATCTGATGATAAGTTTGCCGCTGGAAATATGTCTACACTTGAATTGATCTCGGACATGGCAGTCATGATACAAGCCTCAAACTTTTCCGAGAACTTGTTCCATAAAAGGAATAACTCATGAATATTAATGACCCCGCGACCTAGTTTGGCGATGTTCGTAGAAAAGAGTTCTGCTGTATTGTCATCGCGTTTGTACATTCTAATCTAAAAATAAGTCATAATACTTATTTGAAATAGACAAAATAGCAGTTAGTAATGCGGGTTAGTATACATTGTACATATTCTCAACAACAAGTGCGTTTAGTTTCGAATGTGGGCCCACCTCGAACTTTCGATTAGGCAAACGGAGTTAGCTCCCTTCTCAAACCACCGATAATGCGGTTTCGCCGAAAAGTGCACATATAATTTTTTTGGTCAAACGGAGCGTTTGTGTATGGAGCCGTTTGATCAGGAGAACTTGGTTAAAATCAAAATTCTTGACTGATTGTGATACAAAATGTCCCATAGATTCTTTTCAATATTCGAATTGTCTAGAAGATTTATCAAACTAATGTCGTATTGGTACTTGTTTCCTGCGCCTGTTGACGGTGGGATGGTGATTTAACATCTAATTTTAATTGCGTTCGTTGAACGAGACATGTTGGAGAAAAGGTGAGATCTAGGCCCACCAGGGAGGAGCGAGTGATAGGCCCTAATGTTTCGGTTGATCAAAATAAGCAACAGTGCCGGACAATAAGGAAACACCAACGGGACTCATGTGATTAATTAGGTTGTTGAATCACCAGTGGATGATGCTCCAAACAATAATTGTTGACTGGCTTCCGGACAACTACGAAAAAGACGAACTGGCAATCATGCCATATTATTTCGTTAAATCGTTGTGAAAAGGGGAAGATTAAGTATCCTTAACACTTACTTACAAGGACTTATTGAAAAATACACTGTCCTCAAGTTAGCTGATTGTTTGTTGTCGTAATATCATATCTTACCTTTAGTGGCGTAATTGGCGGGAAGTAGTTTCGCTTTCGAAGTTTTTGACCCGAATGAACCACCTACATTTATCATAAACCTTTTGTGCAATAGTTAACATAGAAAGGGACATAACCGCTTTGTTCACTATATAATTAGAGCGCCACCTATCGACGATCAAACTCCTCGCAGCGGTAAGTCGTTCGCGGAACTCTCAATACAATAATACCGAGGGTGTCACGCGCTGGGAAGGAGCTTGACCGATGATAAGTAACGGTAGGTTACTCTAACCTCAATGTGAAAGTTATGATCACACGAAGAATGAGTGTAAAAAAGGTAGTTCAAGTCCAGCCGTATTATATTTATGGAGATGAAATCCTGAAATGAATTTTCCTCAATTTTCAATAATGTCGAACGACTGAGGACACATATGGCATTTAATACGAAGGCAAAGTCATCGGTATTTCATCCCTTTTAGCTATGTGCAAAACAAATTAGAAAAATATAGTATATAACACAATTTATCTCATTATAGGAAACAGGTAAATCTTGAAGCTCGTGATAAGAACTGACATTATGATTGATTACTAAACCAAATGATTACCTCTATTTTTTAAATACTTTCTATACCTTCCTGTGATTTAGTTATGGTAATTTTCAGTAAAAGTCTGACTACTCGATCCATTAAGTCGCCCCCCCCCCCCCCAATTGTTGCCATGGAAACATAAAAATAAAAAATTCTAAAATCTCTAAATAGCAATAGGCACCAGTTCAGCATGAGTCTGATATACATGCAAAGTTTCGTAGAGAGATATTTAACGGTTTCTGAGTTATGCTCCTGAAACGATTTCGGGACGCACACACACAGATAAAAACAATAACCAAACTAAAACTCTGTTAGAACGGATCGTATTGGCTAGTATTTCTGCACAGAGAATAAATATATTGCCTAGAGAATAGCAGTGCACGTCTATCGCCTAAGGCGCCGCAGAGTTGCGTCACTTGAGCACGCCAGAAACCTATGATCGTGGGTTCGAATCCCAGTTCGCCCCGATTATGTTTCTAGGTTTGTCAGAACCATACCCGTGCTCTTGTGTTTCAACAAAGTGGTAAACATCTGAGACCTGCATCACCTCGGGCTTTCCTCCCATGGACATTAAGCTGATACGCCGTGATATAACTGGGATACTGTTAAAAGCGGCGTTAAACCCAACTCACTCACTCACCCACTCTCTCCACTTCGAGCACCATATCGGAAGTTCGGATGTTACTATATTTAGCTAGTGTGGTGTGTAATTGTTTTGCAGTAATTTGTATTGATTTGTATACTTAGTGAATTTTGTAATAATGGTTGGCTTCTGTTGAGGGAGTAAGGGTTATATGTTAATGAGTGGTGCCAGGGAATATGTAAACTATAGAGAAGAGTCCATTGTGCGATTCGGACTATATCATGAGCATGTTTTTATGAATCACTTTTTAAAAAAAAGTAATGATGCCAGGTGTTCGCGAAAAGGTGAGGTAGAGAGGAGCATGCTTCATTGTACCTGAAACGTTGCAAGAATGATGCGGAATGATCTAATTTCAGTTTTTCAACTATGATATCACATCTGGATCCTGATACACAAGATTCACAGATTTGGAGCTTCGGAGACTGTTGTCACAGATGTCAATGTTCCTAGTCGCCGTTAACCTAGCTTGGTTTATTTGTACATTTCTATTGTACCAAGTTCGTTGTAAGTCCGTGGTATTTGTGTTATGCAAGTTGCCCGTGAAACCAGTTTGCACATCTATTTTCAATATATTCTCTACACCTTAGCATATTGACTTTTTGCTTAATGATATGCACTTTATTTAAACATGTTTAAATTCTAAACATGTTTGAACGTGTTTAGATTCTGAACATGTTAAAACTTTAAACATGTTAAAATTCTAAATATGGTTAAAACGGTCTTAAGATCTAAACATTTTTTGGATGTTCTGTTTAATCTGTGAGTTTGTCTGGTCTAGACTCGATTATTTACAGACCGCCGTCATATAACTGGAATATTGCTGAGTGCGGCGTTAAAAACAAACAAAAACATGATCCTGCAGTGGGGTGGGGTGGGGTGGGGTGGGGTGGGGATTGTGTCGTAAGAACAGACGGTTTAACGTCTAACAACGGAGACATAATGTGTGTCAAACATGCTTGTTGCATGCATGGCCCTTATCATCAAGCTCGATGATTACCAAAGATTAAATTTGAAAATAACCAACTTTCGTCACGTGATTCTGTGTTTTATGGAAATAATTGTAAAATAATGGAGTTCCACACTGTAAAAAATGTGTTTATAATATAAACACATACAAGACATGTTTAGGTCTA